CCCTCGCGGTGAGAAGGAAAATCGGTTCCGCTATGTGGCAGGTAGCGTGCGGAAACGAGAGAGAGAGAGAGAGAAAGACGCGACTTACGTCATCGCGTCCCTCGTGGATCGAATATTGAATCAGCATACCGATGTTTGTTGCGACCGGCGAAATAACAGGAAGCCGGTCGACCGTATTTGATACGTGCACACGCGCGGCGCTTGACAGGTTATTGATTTGATACTCGCTCTTTCTCTCTTTCGTCTGTATTCTGCTTGGACAGTTTCGCGTTCGCATATCTCATTCTCACTCGTGGCCAAAATGGAAAAATCGATGCGTGTGAACAAGGTCGCGCGCGTCATCCCCGTAGACCTATAAACGTTTGTCACAAGAAAATTGTGACAAATTCTGCTAAGGTGTCCTATTTTATTAATAAAGATTTTATAAGATAGTATAATATTAATATAACGTTTATCTCTCGAAATATAGCCTTAAACACACACACATATATGTATATAGATATAGAATATAAATATAAAAAAAACAATTTAAAAAAATTAATATATCTATAAATTACAAATATCTTTTTTGTGTATAGTAATAATATATTTTCTTAAATTTATATATAATATTGATAATATTAAAGCGTTATGATAATGATATAATTATATTTAATACTAAATTTAATGTTATAGTCAAATTTCTAAATGCAGTGTACCTGAATAATAACGATTTAGAAATTAAGATTTATTAATTAATTAAATTAATTTTTCTATTATTAGAAATTAACCAAAGTAAAAATATACAATTACGTGTATTGATTTTATCGTAAATAACAGTTATTGCTAATGATAATTCGTTGTATTATTATATTTAACACATATGCGCGTCTGTGGTCAAGATATAATATTAGATATCAAAACATAGTCTGTGTTTTCTTTAAAATGATCAATAAATATAAAATTTCAAATTCTTGGCTAATAAATTCTACTAAAACAATTAAAAACATATTACAATGACGAATACAATGACGAATACAAAAAATATGATGAAAGTTAATTTGATAACAAGAATTTTTTACTTGTTTTGTAATCATTTTTTTGTTTCTTGCAATTAATAATGAGAAATCTTATTTCTTTCGCGTAAATATAATAATTAAAGAAAAATAATAATTTAATTAATCGATTATAATTTAGTCAAATAATATTATATCTTATCAGAAAATTTTTATTTATTCATTAATCGTGTTGAACGTGAATAATTTTGATAATTTTGCAAGAAAAGATAGTTACTTTGTCTATTAATCTAATCTCTTAATTAAAAATATAATTTTGAAATTTTTTATTTAATTAAAAATGAACTGAGTTAAATATTTTTATTGAGAATATATTTTTTAGCTTCAAGCGTCTTTAAGTCATTTTTAAATCCCTTCTACTGCATATCTCTTTTTTTCTAGTAGTATTATTATTATGGTTAATTATCGGGCATCGTCGGACCTGCGATGATTAGTGGGACGTAGTCGCCCAGTTCCTAATCTCCGTCTGGAACAAGCGCGAGTTCGGTACCACGCTGGGAGCTGTCTGGTAGTGGGGGCAAGAAAGGGGATCGAGGGAAGGAGGGTGGAATGCCGCTTAGAACGTAAAGGGGGGAATTCAGTAAAGAAGAAGACCATTCGTCCATGGTCGTTGGAGAAAATTGTGGTAGGTCGTGAGCAAAATGGCCGACCTGATGGTTGCCCAGGAAACCATCTGGGCGGTGCTCTGGTGTTCACCAAGAGGCGGAGCATGATGGTCTTGGCGGCCATTATGATTCTCTACTCCGAGAGATACTGCCACCTGGTAAACGTCCCCTGAAACCAGCCTCGATACTGGGAATATCACCACTACCCCCGGGGATCGCCTGGGATGTGATGGGCGAGAGATGAGTCCTTGTATTCTGGTATAGTCCTCGCACTCTGAAATGGTCCTAGGATTACCTAGCGTGTTGTCCTGATACGTCCCTTTCGAAAGCTGATCGTTTCATTCGCTCGAATTGTCTCTGAGGGACAAGGTATATTGCTGATGTGAAAATTATCTCGATAGATGGTACTAACTGTACATTTATTTTATTTATTTCATTTATTTAATGTGTTATCGAATTATTAAAATTCATGATTGCCATTATTAAAGTATGAATGAAAAATAAGAATTTTTCTGATCGTCAGTTTTAGTGTGAGTTACATTTAAGCAAATTTTTTTTTTAATAATTAGTAAAATTGATTTAACAAATCATAGATTATTTGTGCATATAATTGTAATAAGGTAACAAATTAGTTGATATCACTTTGGTATAAACTTTGGTATTGATGTAAATTTCACAATGGTACACATTAACAATCTACAATTGATTTTGATGACTGAAGGCATTTAATATTATTTTGAACATTTCTTTATTTTTATTTTTTTTAGTAAATTTATTTAAAGTTATTTATTGTTTTCAATATATAAAACGAAGAATAATGATCTAAAAATAATATATATTTTTATCATCAGCTATGATTAATCATCTTCTTTGCTCTTCTAAAAATAATATACCTTTTTATCATCAGCTATGATTAATCATTGATTTTGTAACTCAATATTAATAATTATCGATAAATCTGATAAAAGATCTGTGTTTCGGTCGTTGACATTCTATATAATTCAGATGCGGGACATAGGAATATATCTAAGAGATTCCTGCGAAAATGGATTACAATTCCGGACATAGTCCAGCCGAATGTCCCATCGAAATTGCGTACCAGCGACACAACGCCATTAAACGCGGGCGTGCTCGTGAGATTGCGTTATTATTAATCACTCGTATATCGTTTACGAGGCACGTCGCGGCGCGTCCCTCACCAATTATTAACGGCCGTTGCGCCGGTAGATATTTACTTATTAATTAACCGATTAACGTTTCGCAATTATGCGCCGTCACGCTCCACTCGTATACCCGGAAACCGCGCGAACCGCCTGTATCTCATCTCAGGGTTCTTGCTTATTCGATTAATAATAACCACGAATTATTATTGTGACGTGTGACACGATATAGGGGTACCGAAATCACAGAGTTTGTCCACAACTCACCATTTTTAAACATCAATTAATTTTCCACGGCCAGACAAATTTATACATTGCGTTATCATGTTTAATTACAGAAAGAACAAAATAAATTGATGTTAGAAGATTTATGAATATAATAAAATTGATACGTGTTAATGAACGATTACAAAATAAATAAATAAATTGTTGTTTTTTTTTGGTAAATAAAATTATTATTTCTGATATTAAAAGAATATTTTTCTATGTATTTTTGAAATCCTTTTGTTTTAATGATACAATTTATATATGTTTTTATATTTATACAAGTCCCTTTCTTATTGTTTTATACTTTAAGAAATGGAATTGAATCGTTACATGATATGCCTTCTACAACCAGAACAATTGCAAATAATATATGATATTGGCCAGACACTCTGAATCACGTATCTCCAGTCACGGCGCGGTGATTTCTAGCTCGCTCCGCTCGTAAATGCTGATTTATAAATTAATTGGCTGACACACCGTGACCGCATCGAGTCACGCGCTTCCCTTACGATTACGATGACCCCGGTCTGACCGGACAAACGAGAGGGTTGCATATCGCAGAATATTCCAACTTAAAGAGATTTAATTGTGAAATGTCATCTTATAAATATATTGCACGCACATCTTTCTGCATTGAGCTTGTACAAACAAACAGATTTTTCTTATTCTTTCTTTTTCTTATCATAAAAATATATAACATATTTTCATTTAATTTAAAATAATAAATTTCTGCACAAATTAAACTTTACAAAAATTCTTACAATAAGATAACAAGATTTTGTCTTTTGATTAGATTTTTTAATTTTCGAATAAACTTTATTTTTTAAAAAGTAATTTTAATTTCTATAATAATCCTAATTTTATTTCTTAAATATATTTAAGAGGAGTAAATATTGAATAAATATATTTAAGGAATAAAATTAAGATTATTATAGAGAATACAATTATTCTAAACGTTTATTTAGGTTTGAGATAAAATAGGACATACATTTTCGTAGAAACTACGAATCACAGAATGACCATCCGTGATTCAATTCAACGCGCTTTGCGTATTGAATCCGGTCGCGTTGACAAAGCCTGAGAGTAAACCGAGCGTGCGTATCCTACTATATCTCGTCTTCTGACCCTTTGTTATCCTAGCGCAGCCTGCACTTTCTGCTTCAAGCCAGAGGTTATGAATAATACATATTAATTGCGCTCGTCCCGTGTATATCTTATTCTCTCTATATAAATATATGTGGCAAATTCGAGACAATCTCTTCATCGACACACCAATTTGTTATATGCATTCCTGCAGGATCGAAAAACGCCAATCAACGAGAAACTCGATAACACATTAACACGCATGAATATCATAATAATAGACATTGATAATTAACCGGATGATTGTTACGTGCATAACTGAAGGGATCTCGCCTAGTTCGCATGATAACCGCTCATTATTCAGAGCAATTTAATCCTTAATCCCTCGCGATTCCATGGAATAAATAGAGTCTACACAGAGATTTTATATTTCGTATATAATACTTACTGTTTCGAAAGCCTCGGATGGGAATACATTGTTATATTACGAGTTTAAAAAGCGGTATAATAGAGGACTCTATTGCCGTCTAATCGAAAAGATTATTTGCGAATTTTTTTGATTTTTCAGAAAAATAGCTCTGCACATATTACAGTATAATTATAACAATTATAACGTATTATTATTATAATTAAAAATTAATATTATAATTCACTTTAAAGATATATTATCAATCTCTGTATTTTTGGTTAACTCATTTTTATTAAAAGTTGACAAACAAATTTTGCGTTTTTGAAATAAATTTTTTTATTATTTTAATTTAAATTCGAATCGCTCTCCTTACATTGTATATTGTACATATATACTATATGTCCTTGATCTATGTTTGCAGATCCTCGTAGAATACGACGACGTAGAGTGGCAAAGGAGGGAGTGGTTGTCGCCTCATAGGGATGCCGTATTCTCCTTCTTTCTCATTGAACGAGGTCTCTATTGGGCCGAACGACCTGACCCCAGACACGCCAGTCTCATCCCCATCGATCATCACAATCACGCGAACAATAACCACCATCAGCACCGCATTAACGGGAAACCGCTCAGAGGCGCCACGGCAGTCGCCGACACCGTTGCCTGGCCAGCTCTTGTGAGTACAAATTAATTATTGTACTCGTGGATTTTAAGACTTTATCCTTCTGTAACAAAAATCGAGATATTGCAAAAATTATAAAGTGGCTTTACAATTTAACTTATTTTATTATCTTATTAACTTATTTTATTATCTTATTAAATTAGATAAGAAAATATATTATAATAGCTTGAATGAAAAAAAAAACAATCATGTTTTACCAAATTTCTATTAAACTCATTATTAGAGCTATCAGAAATTATTCAAAAATAAAACATAAAAAATCTAGCGTATATGAATATTTATATTCATTGTTTAAAGTTTTTTTTTTCATTCATATGAAAATATTTTTTACAAGAACTTTTTAATTTCATTTAGAAATGTTTCATAGATTATACAGACCTATACAATATTATTGAAAAAAATTTTATTTTAATCACGGATATAATATACGTGAAATTTCCGCAGAAATCTATTAACCATGTGATTTCCCTCGAATTTTACATAAAAATGTATATAATTCGACGGGCTACTATTTTTAATGCAAATCCTTCATATTTTACCAGTGATAATTGAAGAATGCTTGCAATCCCCTATTCGAATATTAATCAGTCCGTGGTTAATTAATGAAATATCCGATTCTCCATTCCTGTTGAATAAATTTTACGATCGACACAATTCGACCGTTATAAAACAGCGCGTTCCATTGGTTCGGTGCTTTTTTGCTCGTTAAAATTTTAATGCTTCGATTGAACGAGCTTAATTATTTTGCGAAGGCTCAATGACGCAAAAGTAATTACATTTATATAATTTAAAATTTTTGCCTTCTGGTTTTTTGTGAACTTTAAAATTAAAACCCTGAGTACAACATTATAAATATAATAAAAAAAGATTTTTAATATGATTATAACGATGATGTAAACATCAACATCTTTTTTCCACTTATTTGAATAGTAATTAATTTTGTGTTCTTGAACTTTGGTATATCAAGTAAAAAATTGTTTATAAATTTTTTTAATTTAAATATACTAGATACTTATTTTTCTCAAAATTAGGAATTTTAATTAATATGTTAGCCGAAAATTAACATATAGAATCAAATTTGCATATAGAAAAAAAATATTTATTATTATAAATAAATTAAATATTTTGTTTTTTAGTATTTCGATATAAATTTCGCTATTATACGTTTATGTAACATATTATTATGTTGTTTATATAACATAATATATTTAGCTTTTTTTTCTTTTGATGGAATAATTTAAATTGGTTATTAAATTAATAAATAAATTGGTTTAATTAAATACAGTTTATTATATATTGAACGGTAAAAAGGTATGACGTCAAGTAAAATTATTTTAAATAAAGTGGAATGCGAGAATCCCGCATGTTTGTTTCTAGACTTTCTATCCTCTCGTGGCACGCGCTGAGTTGCACGAAGACGCCATGCCGATCGAATTTATGCAAGATCGCAAACTGGACTTCGTAGACTATTCGAAGCTGAAGCCATTCACCGTAAGTATCATAAATTGATTTAAATCACTTAAGATCACGATCTTTTTGTTTTTCTCTCTCTCTCTCTCTCTCTCTCTCTCGTCTCCTCCCTTTCTCTCAATGAATTTTAACATTGTATATAATGTAGTGAATAATCGTTGACTCTGTAATTATATCTATAATTTACATAGAATATAATTCTATTTTGTTGAAAAATATAGTTGCGATATTAATTTTTCATGAATATCGTAATTATAAAGTACACAACATGAATCCATAATTTATCAAAATTAATAAATATTTTGCATTATACTTTTATTAATTTGATATTTTTGTATTAATTTTATATCATTTTTCATAATACACACACACACACGTGTACAATCGGAATATTTAAATTTTATTTGAAAACTAAACCTACGACGTTTTCGTTTAAATAAAAAAGAGTAAATAATTGAATAGTATTCTTTAATCATTCACATGTGTGTCGGTCTTGAAGAGAAAAGCGAAAAATATGAAAAGCGTCAAATTTGCATGTTCGTTGACCAAGGTATATTGATGCAATCCGTTATCTCGTTTCCCTAATTTCCTCGTAAACGTCTTGCACATTTCACGCGTGAGATGCGATAAAGGATCCCGGAACACACACGCACGACTAAGAGTCCACGCGAGTTCGCAAGTTTGGCAAACACGGAATGACGCGGCACGGTGGCCACTTCCGCTTTACGACTGCAAACTTACTTCGTTAGGAACGTTGGAACTTAGTTAGGGGACGACAAGTTCCCCGGAGCCATTGGCGCATCCGACACCTCTCCGAAACGATGGACGCGAGCGCGAGCTCTCTCAAGTCGCTGCTGCTGTAAGTAATCTTTCACGAGACTCTTGTTGTTCAACTTCTCGTAAGAGCTACGCGGAAGAGTACGAACTTACTGATTGGAAGACGAGCAGCCGAACTTTGATTCGAGTTCCCGTTTCACTTTCGCATATGTATGTGCAGAAATTGCGAACGCGGCAGAACTTTTCACGCGAAAAATATTCCTCCTTGAAATCTTATTACTTCGTAACGTAATGGACGGAATTGAAAGAAACACACACAGTCGCAAAATACAAATATACACATATATATGTCGGCCTTCGAACATAGAGAAACACAAGACACCTGACCGAGAAAATAAATCGATCTCTCCTCGAGAGAGATAGTGCGTGTGCGTACATGTGTTTGTGTGTGTGTAACTACTTTAGAAGTTGTAGCACTTCTATTACATAGGGTAGGAAGAGTTGAGCGTGGTGGAATTGTTTCCAAGTAATTAAACTACCGGAAAACTTTTACCGTTAAAACTTTTCTCCGCTTCGGTGGCGGTGGCGGCGGCGGGGCGAGTTGTAAGTCGTTTACGTGCGGTGAGAACCTTCAGACTGGCAGCGGTCAGGTTCAGGTATATCTTACTTTTCAGGTTCGCTCTTTACCTGCTGACTTGATTCATTTTAACCAAAATAAATTTTATCCTTGTGATTAATAACGCGTATTAGATATTTTGCGCATTACAGCAGTGACATGTAGACTCTATTTGTTGCTTTAAATTTACGGTAGAATTTTATAGAATTTTAATTTAAGACAACTTTGATTATGAAAGTACATTTTTCAATACAGAATCTTAAACCCTAAATTCCCTGCATTTCGACAAACAAAACGATTCACGGAGCTAGCATCTTTTTTTATAGAGCGAGAAATTAATTCTTTAATCTTAATACAAAAAAATCTCTTTCCACCGATTCAGCCATTTATGATTGCTCGCCATAGATTTTTGCTTTAAGCTGCAAATCGATGTGCTTGCATTCTGTCGGCAAAGGGAGAAAGTCGACGGATTAAATGTAAAGAAAAAAAATAAAAGAAATGGAAAAACTGTGCGAGAGAGAGGACCGAATTCGTCCGAAGGCGAAGTCGCGCGCAGAGTGTGCTGACCCTGAACTATAAATGCAACGGGTTCTTTCTCCTCGCAGCATCGCGTCGCATACCTATCTCTATCAAACGTGTACGCGTGCACTTGCGCGTGACGTCCCTCTTGCTTTGCTCTCGTTGGGTGAACAACCCGGTGCCACGAAGGGGTGCAACAGCGTCTCTTGCCCACCCATATTTTATAGCTCTCGAATATCAAATATGTTATAATATTATGGTTTAATACATGTGTTAATTAATAGTGAATTATTTCATGAGTTTTACCACAGGAAAATTAATTTGATATTATTGGATCAATTTGTAATGAAATAATAAATTTAGAATATCTTGAATTTGAGATATAATTTGAGATCCTTCGAGGAAAAATAAAATATATTAAAGTATATGTTTATACATACACACATATACTTTAATATAGTTTATTTCTTCCAAACCTGAAATTAAATCTTGAGTTCGAGACATTCTAAATCCATTGCTTGGTTACGAAGGGAAAAGTAAGTGAATTTTAGCGGTAAAACCGCGAAAGTCTCTATATTCTTGAGAAAGATCCTGCCGACGCCCATGTGATGATAGTCGTTGCCTTCTGCCGGCGGCGTCGCCTGCCGGTTTGGCGACTCGATAGCGCGCGTGCACGATCTGCGAGAAACGTTGGAGAACGGCCAAAGACGAGGCGCCAACATATTCCCGTTCTGCCTAACGGTCCTTGGTAAACGCGACAGCGTGGCATTATATCCCTTCACGCGATTCTCGCAAGACGTAAAAAACGCCGGATTCTTGTCTATGCTGTTTCGTGAAAGACGTTTGCTCATCTTGAAGAATAATAAGAGAGAAAGAAGGATGTATTGTTTCTTTTATCATGGAAATTATAATCCTATATTTAACTAAATATGTATGTCATTTTCAAACTAAGTAAAAGCTGACTGTTCGCTGATTTAAAAAAAAAAAATATTGAAAAACAATTAATTGCACTGATTTATTTTAATTAAGTTTTGGAATTCAATTAATTAGATTGAATTTTTAATGCAATTTTTTAATTAAATTTCAACAAATCTATAATTCATGATTTTAATATTTCGACCAATCTAATTATCAAAATACGTATTTTTTTTAAATGTAATAAATGTAAAATTATTTGTTTTCTTGAAAATTTCTGGAATAAATTTAAATTTAAAAAATTTGTTAATAAAATAAATCATGAAAATTTTAGGACATTGTATATTGTGCAAAGAACTTGTTATCTCCAAAACTTGTAATATATTCATGTAATTTCTCATTACGAAATAGTTTCGCTCCTAAATAATGTTACAAACAACTTACTGTATCTCTTTTGTTAGCATAGTTTTAATGTGACGCGATTAGATATCGACTATAAGAAATTAAACAATATCGTATACAGTGCGTTCATTATCTAGTCGATTTTATCGAACGGGTGGCGGTTGAAAAAATAATTTTATTGCGCGAATGGTACACGCATCTGTCGCATCTTCAATTTGTAACGATAGTCACTTGCCTATTGCCATTTTATCTCCACTTCAGCCTTGTGATTATACGGTGAACGCATCGCGATTAATGGCGAGCGCGTTCTTAATTAAAGAACTCCTTAATTAATTAGCTGCCGCGGTAACTGCTAACGAGGATCCGCCGCGCGTGATAGAACGATAACAGCCGACACAGTATGGCCCGTGATTTCTCGACCGATAATTTTCATCTTGAGAGATATTTGGCCTCGATTATGTATGTGTACGTGTGAGACAATGGTGGAGTTCACTCGAGAAAAAGATGAATAATTGTGAAATTTTAACATATATACTTTTGCAAGATTTAGTATTTAAGAGAAACCTATTATGTATAAAACATAAAAATATTATAAAATCAATAAACTTTTGAGAATTTTAAGATTACATAGCACGATGATAGATAACCTCATTGATTTTAAGCCGATATTTCTGTGAAGATAGCAGCTTATTTTCGAAATTTCGATAAAATTGATAGAGTTCTAATTTAACAGAGGTGAGAACGAATTCTGTCTCTCATTTTCACGTTAAAATTGATATAGACGAACATTATTTCTATTCGACGGTTCGAATTCGATTCAGACGAACGTTATTTCTATTCGATATCAACGACAATAATAGCTGAATGGAAAAATATGTTTTGTGAGCTACTCTACAATGAGTATACTTTGTATAGGGATGCCATATGTTGCGCGAAATCTTCTACCGATTATGCTGTGCGATAAACGAGCCTTCTCCTAAGCACGTGGAATGACTTTACAATGATTACAAACGATACTGAGGTTGGACAGCAGTTGCTGGTTACATGCGAACACTTTCGTTTATGATGAACGAGAAAATTACGAGAGGTAAAAGCTATCAATGGATATGCACGTACACATATATACAAAAGTTTACACAGATCTGGTACGAAAAGATAATTTGAATAATTTAGAGACACGTAGAAAAAATGGTATGTATATATTTGTTTATCTAAGTGCATTGCATAATCTTAAAAGTATTTTTACATGAATGTCATTATGTTTATTAGCGCGATTTTAGCGAAAATATTGAGAATTATATGATTGAGATAAGCGCTATTTTAATCAATATTCTTTTAATGCTTCCTTCATATACTTCTGGCTTTAAAGATGGCAAATAATAGATGGAAAAAAGGCTAATTTACTAATTTAATAATTGTTATGCTAATATATTAATATATAAATTTATTAATATAATATATTAATTTTTATTAAACGAGATAATGAAGATGATAATAATGCTTTAATGTTTGAAGTCTGTAACATTTTTGCGATATGTCACGCGATATATTAAGCGCTACACAATTATAAGAAAATATTTTTAATTAATAGTCTTTTATTATTTTGTGTTAAGTTTCCATGAAAATATATATTAAAGCATTGAGGATGAAACGCGATAAAACTGACGTAATTTTAATTATAATACTTAGCACTCTCTGCGAAGAGCTTACGATGCACTTTACAATATTAATGTTGGAGATACCAACTTGCAAAGTACATCGAGTTTGAGAGATGTGCATTATATTTCCAGTCTTACAAAGTAATTATTATTCGCATAATTGCGTAATTCTCTTCGACTGTACGAAGCTGCCTTGTCATCATCTCTCAAGCATTTATTTCGTTCGATTCATTAAAATAATGTAGACTCTAGAAATAATCAGAGAAAAGTTGGAAAAATACACAGATCATAAAAGGACATAAGATAATAACGGCTCGGAAACAAAGTTAAGCTTATGTTATTAAATCTGGTCGAATCATAATGCTCTTCGTCCCGAGGTCGCGGTCATTCCTTTTTACCGAGTGTCTCGATTACGTTTCTCTCTATAGACTGTCTGAGAAATCTAAAGACGATTGCTTGTCAATAAAAATTCGATAAAGCTCCATTTTCGCTGACAAATTAATCTGTCGTAAATTCTATGCTTTTATTAATTTTTTTTATTTAATATCTTACGTCATAGATCAATATTTCGAATTTAATCTAAAATTAAGAAGAAGAATAAATCTGTCAAAAAGAGAAAGGAAAAACGATTGACCTTACTCTTCTTCAGGACTTCATCATATATTACAAGATATCTCGTGAATCGCGTTCACGAGCATTGTGCGGACATTAAGTGCTTTCGACGCTTTGGTAATAACGTTCTAATTGCCGTTGTATTACTGCTATTAACACGCCTCGTGCCGTCACGCTGTGCAAGCGATTGCATAACGCGTGTCTGACGTAACGGTGTAATAGTGACGTAACGCGATATACTCGCTCGAACGCGTACTCGTCATCGGGAAAAGCAATCGTCGAAAAAAAAAGAAAATTGACATTATCGTATTCTCTGAATCTATGTAATTTTATCCTCAAGAAGAACTTCTATTATATTATTGATATTATTTATAAATATGTACGAGAAATCGTGCATAGAAAATGTTGATATATTTTGGTGAAGATTATTATTTTGCATATCGTACTAATAATATCAGTTATGGTTAGTTATGATTTGGTGATTTTTAACTTGAGAAACTAACTGGTTGAGTAACTAATATTTTCCAATATTATATTTCCATTGACGTAATTTATGTACATATGTATATATATGTGTGCACACGTTGAAGATTATCGAATCATAGATTCGATAATAAAGGAATATTAAATATTCGAACGCTAATTTCTACCTCATAGGATCTAATTTCTCGACAGACAGCATTCTTACGTGTATTAATAAAACATTTTCACGTCGATTATTGATCGCGTAATGAACATGATAATATCACGTTTCTCTGGATTCCACCTAAGCTGATTTGCTATTTCGAGTTTTAGCATGCGAGTTTTCCGTTATCCCTGCAAAGCATCATAATCGTATTAACACACGAGATAAAAACAGAGTCAACGATGTACGAATAAGATTGAATGTGTACGGCCTCTTTGTTTAGCACTTAACGGTACTAATAACGTTATGCAGTAGCTGATGAAAGTGTATTCGTTAAGATAATACTTGCATGTGTAACTGAATATATGAAACCATTTATTATATTAACTAAAAGAATATATCTTTTATAATGTGTTAAGATGAGAACAATGTACAATACATTGTCATCTTTTTCAACTGTTCTCCATATTTTTTATTCAAAATATTAATATATTTAAAATCTCTTTAAAATTCATAAAATTATTATTTAATTTTTTTTAAATTTGCTTTTATTAAATACTCATAGATTCTATTTCTAAAATTGAAAATAAGATATATTAAGACATAGTACACAAGTCTCGCGAGATCAGTTTTTTAGATGAAAAACAGATCTCTTGGCCTCAGTTTCTCAGGGAATTTTATCTTTATTTTTTTCAAATTACATGAATTTTTACTTTTTCTTCATTTTTTTTCTTCCAAAATTACGGACAGCTTCTGGAACTAGAGGAATAGTCCGCTTTTCTTCTTAATCAAGTTTTACGAATGAAGCTTTAATCTCGGATTTTTTTGCTCGTCTTTGCAGCAGGATTGGGAGCTGACTAAGGGAACGATGCCCTGGAGAAATGCTGTTAGGAGATGGGCCGAGATGCAGGACGGTCAGAGGATCTTGCTGACTACGCCTAGCATTCTGGTTGGTTTCAGGGTCGAAGTTTATCGGGCGGAAGGCACCACACAATGGTATACTGCCGTGATCGTCGGTTATAATGAGTCCACTAAGGTAAGACCGACGAGATAATAAATTTTATGGCGATTCTGTTATCAATAGATGAAAATTGTCCCTGCAATTTAGAAGGCTCGCAACTCGCGATTTCTAGTTCAGTCTTAAATTTGACAACATTAATATACGAATATATAATATAATATTTGCGAGAAATGTTCTGATTTGCGACGATAGAAATGTCATTTGAATAAATCTCTAATTCCAGGTCAGCATATTAGCTATTTTCGAAGTTTCTATTTTAACGACTTTTATAAATTTGGTTTTGCTTCAACGAATTAGAGTCAAAAAAGGGATTAAAAATTTTGATATTTTTATATGAAATTAAATTATATTATTTTCGAAGACTCTTATCAATCCAATTTATTCGTTTCAGATCAATAACAGATCAAAACTTAAAGAAAGTTTCAGTTTTAGTAACAGTTTTGCAATTAAATAATTAATTATTTAGCGCGTAATCAGTTATTAAAACCATCAGTTTTCAAATTACTGTTCAACTATATATTTTTGTCGTGAAAAATTATAAAAGAAACTAAGTGTAACATTTGGAAATATTCTTTTTCCACAACTACATTTATTTCATAAAATTAAATGTTTTGTTTATTATTAATAAAATAATACAGTTTTAATAGTTTTTTTATAATCTTCTACAAATAGATTAGCTGATAAAACTATAAATTTGCATCGATTTGTCATAATGTGCTAAAGAAAGATGTAACAATATCTCGGAAGGATTCAAACGATTAAATTTTTTTCTTTGTCCGATATTTTCATCATCTTTATCGTTAAACATCTTAAGATAGAGGAATGAACGACAGACTCGCATCGTCGCGAAAATAATCCTCCTCGTCTTGCCTCGCAAGGAAGTTTCCGATAATTTATCCTGGCACTGTCGCAGCATTCCTATTGGAAAACTAAATCCCTGAAATAGTCGGACGAGGAAACGTTCCATGAAAGGTGCAGAAATCGAAGGGCGAAGGAACATAAAATATCGGGTTGTCTGAGGAAGCTTTTGTCGCTCCGCGCACTTTTTCTTTGCCGTCTTTTTATTTCCTTTGTATATATGTCTGCCTCGAATATTCCTCGAGAGTGCTGGCGAAATCGAGTCGCTTCCCTGTTGAAGCTTATTCGAATATTCTTCATCGTAACATTGTCTCACGGATAAAGACTTTAATGAAATATTGCTAAGAAATAACAAAGAATACAAAGTATATGAAAGACGTATATTGTCATTCATTGCGCACAATGAATGTTAATATAAATATGAAATTGTGTAAATTTTACTTAATTATTACACACACACACACATATTAAACGAATATTCTTATGTCACTGATTTTATGTGGTTTAACTTTCAGAAATAAAAATAATTTTAAAAAAAATCTATTTTCCGAATAAATACATCTCTTTGAAACTATTGTATAATAATTATATTGTATAATAATCTTATGAAAGTAGTAATCTTGATGAACTGTTTAATGTTGATAGTTTAAATTTTATATCCATCTGCAAGAGTTTCAAGTTTATAGCCATAAATATGCTGTCAATAACCGAGACAGTAAAAATTGATTTCGGAAATCAAGTCCACGTGAATACAAATGGCATGAACCCAATCGTTTCATCGCGTATCTCGCAACACAGGCATTCTGTCTCGCCGCTGATCAATTAAGCGCATTGACAAGAAGAGGCGTCGATCGTGATGGCTCTTAACGAGAAGCCAGACCATCGATCTCTGACCCGCGAATACAGACGAATTGACAGACAAACGCTTCGCGATCTGCCGAGTGAATCACAAAAATTCTCAAAAGAATGAAAAACGATTAATGATCATATATTATGCATAGGATCTTTGATGAACTACGAATAAAATTCTTAGATTCGAGATCGACGAACCTAGAAAATTTAATTTCTCGATTCGTATCGCCATCATTAATAAATATTTATAATGATTTGTCGAATTTAATGAAAAAGTATATAAACGGAGAAATAAAAAAAATAATATAGAAAATATAGATAATCGCAAGATGTTTCGAAAATGAAAGACTTTTATTTTTTAAATTAAATATCTTTATTTGAAATAGTTTAAAATTCTAACAACTTCTTTAATACACATTTACATGTATTCTTTAGAAACATATATTCAAGGGCAACATGCGCGGACAATATACCCGAGTCTATTGTCTGCGGATATGTAAACAAATATTTTATACAAGTAGTATATATTGGAATGGAAATCAAAATAAAAGTGTATGTGTGTGTGTGTGTATATTCGTAGAATAGAACGTGTTCGCATACTCTCATCAAGTTTTTTTATCAAATGTTCATGCCTATGCTCACTTTAGCTGGATAGCCAGTGGTAAAGACGTTCTTGAATCAGTCTTAAATTATTGAAGTGTTATACGAAAGATTAAGTGTGAACGGAGAACATTATTCATAGTACGTTGAAAGTAACTACCACACATTTTTTATGTACGTAATATTGTACGTATATTGTTTAATATAAAACTCATGTGTTTCTCTTGATCCAATTATTAATATTTTCAGGATTTGACTGTCACCGACGACACGGTCCTCGAAGATCACAACGAGGATCCTACTTTAGTACAAATGCGACTGATTGGCGATGGAGGTGAGAAACTTTAATATGAGAATAAAATATGCGTTTAATTGATAAAAAGTAGCGATTAAATTTATATATCGGAAAATTTTCATTATACATACATAGGATATCCGGTAATAATAATACCTACCTCTCATCTGCAGAGTGGGTAAATCGAATAGAAAAATCCTTTGCCATTTTACGCAATTTTCAGAATAATTAATGAGAAATTAATGTGAAAAAAATCAATTAACTCGCACATAAGCATGCATTCTACTGTTATGCGATTGCTAGATATAATACATAGTTAAACGCTTGATTATTAATTAATGCTTCGTCGAGACAGTACTACCGGACACTATATATATTTAATCTCAATTTAGTATAAAAGCATTGATACTATATCATTATGTTACTTAAGAAGTGTTAATGTAAAAAATAATATTGAAAATTTTATCGAATATACATTGTATATCTTTAGAGTATGTGTTGCGTTTAATGTTATTTAATTAGATAATCGCGAATATAAAAATTTTTTTCATTTTTTCAAAAATTGCGTTAATGCATATTTGATTAGCTTTGTAAACAATATTGTCGAATAAGTGGAACACAAAATTGCGAAGGGTACTAAAATCTATTTTCGTTTTTTTTCTCTCTTATGCAGTCGTCGAGAGCATCATGAGGGGCGAGGTCGTCGGCATGACACCGAGGAGGTCGAGGTCATCGACTGCTCTGACGCACGCGCTCGTGGTGGTGAGTGAAATTCAATTTCGTTCTATTATTAAACGTTCTGCATATATTGTACGATCAACGAGTATTATAGACATATATTGACACGCATATTTCTCATATTATGTCACACATATATATCTAATCGTACTTTTATATAACAAAACCTCTTTAATATATTCGCAACTTATATTTTTTACGTTATATAAAATTAATAGATTCTAAAAATATATGTTGTATTTTTATTTAATTGAGAAAATTACGTAATGTCTTACTTTAGAAGATAAATTTACTTTTATATTTAGAAACGGGTTCTTCGACAATGTCTAAATAGTAAAGCAATTATTTTGCACGTTGCAAAGAGTTCTCAAAAATCTTATTTTTCTGCAAAACGTGTATTCTCTAGATCAGATCGGTGCCAATCTTAACACTAAAATTTGTGCCAATATTTATGCTAATGCGCTTTACGATATAATTCAGTATTTATCACGGCGTTTATCAAATTGATGCTAATTGAAATCTTTGCATCGCTAATTGGCAGAGGATGTTTTGCTGAACGGTCGATATCAGCGATAACGACGAAATGATTCGCACGACCGAGTCATGAATTAAGGAGCGCGATAATCTCTTGCGAGGCAAACATCTTCGCGCGTGACGTTAGTGTGCGGTTGTCACGTGGTAAACCGTAATTGGAATCGGGTCGATGCTTCGTTTTAAAAGGAAACCGCTAGCTGTAATCGCGTCTCGATGTTGCGCTCTCGCAACATGTACTTCGTTGCATACATATCACGACATATGTTGTCGATGTGCGAACATTACAGTTGAGCATCATCGATCACGTTTTACTCTCGTTAACTGATTTGCTGTATACTTGAGATTTGAGCGGAGAAATGGTATATTTACCAATGGTATATTTACTACAGCAATTTTATGCATTTTTATTTAATTTTTGATGCTTAATAATTTATCGAGATATTTTTATGAAAAGAAAGAGAGGGAGAGAATAATATATTATTATCGATGTCATCTCTGTGTAGATGTTATCAAAGATTATCATGTTACTTGAGCTTATAGATGAACAAGTATACGGGACGTATCGATAATCAATTACATAGGTATTTTCAATGAAATTCAGTAACATTATAGTTAGAAATCATACGTCAAGATAATAATATCCGTTTGATATCTCTGTTATACTCGTAGGTACAACCTAGGTATGTTTTTAAATATCTCACTTGAAATTCATTCTGAAATTTTAAACACTTCTGTATCTGCTTGAAAAAGAAAACCAAATAATTTGCAAGTATTTTAATATTCAGAAATATTGACTTGTCGTATAAAAGTATGCTTAAGCGATAAAATTTTATATCTCTTAAAAACGTTTTCTCTTTCTAAAAGTAAACCATTTAAAAATGTTGTGACATATAAGCATCGCGCAATGATTAATAATTAATTAATTTCGACATTAAATATAGATAGCCTGTTTAAATAGCGTGTTTCTATATAGTATCTTATATAAAGTATAAGCGAGTCAAATTACAAGTTATCGAGGAGACATTTGTCAAGCTTCCTGTCTGTATTTTCGGTGTACAAAGCGATGCCTACGCGTATTGAGCGTTTCCCTTTAACGCGAGAAATCAATAGAGTCGAGCTTGCAGCACCCTCGGGCTTTCAGGAATCGGGAAGCCCGGAATAGAGTCCGTTGCTACCTTAGCGGCCGACTTCCGTCATGTACGCGAATACTCCACCTTCCTAGTTCTCTCTCTCTCTCTCTCTCCCTCTTCCTCTTCGCCCCTTCCCTTCTCTCACTCTCTTTATCTCTTGTGTTCCCTTCGTTCGATTTTCCGAGGCGGCAATCGAGGACATAGTTGTCGTACTTGCGTGCTGAATTTCTCTTCGCGAGAGATATACATGCGCTTTCGGATTCTAGATAACGTGATTGTCGAAGTAGACGAACGGATGTCAGGTTGCGGCTCTGATACCAGAATACCTGTTTGCCGACTTTTTTTTCGCGAGTGCATCTCGTCGATGAATCACGCTCTACTTTTCGCAATACTTCTTCTCACAAACATATAGTCCAGAATCGTATTATAATTCATTTATTTTGTCGAATTTCAAAATTTCGAGATATATTAAGTGACTATGCAAAAATCAAATGTTTTTTTTTTTTTTTTTTTTTGAATTATCGAGCGTATCAAATTTTAAAATTTTTACCAGTGAAGAAAACGTTAAATATCCATTGGCAAATTTCATTTCAATGTGATTTTTTTGTAGCATCAATCTAGAAATGTAGAATGTATATACTGTTTAATTTCGACATTTTATTTCAAAGTTTTATTTTGAAATATGTAATGATAATGTGATAAAACAATTTGTGCACATTCATGAAATCATATCTATTTTTGAAAGTAATATCTGTCTTGTTGCAAAATGCTTAAAATTTTCGCAAATTTCGCAATCTTTCTAAATATACGACGATAATGTACTATATGGAATTCCGTGATTTATTACTCGCTGAAAATAACGGCTTTCTCCTTCTCTCTTTCCCTCTCTCGCTCTTGCTATGGAGAGTTAATTAATACGGCTGGAACGAGTATTTTGCCCTTTTCGCGAATGCAAATCAGATGCCAATTCGGCATTGTTCTCCGGGATCAACCAGTTCTATTCCGCGGCTTATGTTGTCAAATTTGTCGACATAAATCTCGCGATTTATCGCCTCGATGGCTGGATCTGCTACCTCCGCTATCTACAACGACACGAGTGTGACGAGAATAACGGCAATCGTAATTGCATATTCTGCCCGGAACCGCGTTCTGCATTGACATAAAATCGTTATCAACTGCCTCCGGAGATATAATTAAGCAGTGCCGTGGCGCCGTCTTTTTCCGATTTTATGGTGGGATGTGAAATCGTATACTTTAAAATAATACATCGTTATAATCTCATATCTCATGCGAAAATAACCGACGCCACTTGAATGTCACATTTGTATCGATTTATTCCGCGGTACATTTCTAGAAGAGATACTCTTACATATATACAGACATCCATTAAATCCGAGTGGAAAGATCTCTCTGTAACACGTTGCACTAGACGTAAGTTAAGCGTAGTAATGCGTTAATATAGTAACGTAATAATTATGTACGTAATATATAAGAAAGAGAGGGTACAATATATAAGATCAATTTATTCTTATATTTACAGTTAAGTTTTTAGATGGTATCATTTTGATAGAAATTTAATGGTAAAATTTAACAGTGTACGTATTTATAGCGCTAGAAATAATTGCGAGAAGTAATGGCTGTCCATTCGGTTCTCATTAAAGAAAAATCAGTAAAGCCGTAAAGAGAAATTGAATTTGCCGTAACAATAAAAAGAACGTTCAGTAATCCTCGAACATCTTGTATTCTTCGCTTAAGCGGATTCGATTTAGTTTCGTATCGGACATTTCGTTCATTCGTCTCGGGATTTAGCGGAGCGCAATTCATCGGCGGCTTGGTATATTCCACCATACGGCAAAGGTCACGAAAGAAAGTAATTCCTCGGCTGGTTTCCACCTTGCTCCGGTTGCAAGGATAATCATAGGGCGGAGATGGATTTCGCGACGAAAGAAAATGATTTATGAACGCCCCCTGAAAGACGAGCGAGACGAGAGGAGGAGGGGGGTGGGGGGAGGAAGTACGAAAGCCCCTTTCGCAGGCATTAAAAGGCATTGTAAGATCGAAGGGAGCGAATTTCGCGCAAAGTTTCCTCCAAGTTTCCCCAAAGTACGAAGAAATCTAGGAAGTAGAAATAACTTGTTCGAAAGGCGGCTTCGCAAACTCGTGAGAATCGGGTGTTGAAAGAGAATCGCGCATTAACGATAGAAAGTTCGGAATTGTCAAAGCGGGCGGATACTTCTTTTAAAGCGGCCATCAAGCCCGAATAATTCGATGGCAACTTCTGATTGCCGTTTCTAATTTTCCACTATCGTCTGGTACGAAGTCTGCGATGTATCCACGAGTTTTCATGGATTATTCTGCTCGCCGGCGCGAGAAAGTTGCCGTCGCAATTTCCGCGATTAGATCTTTTACGTCTCGTACAATTTGCTACGTTAAATCGCATTTTTGCAGCTTTCCAGTCATCAGTGAAGCGTTAAAGATTACGCATTATCCAAACATTAAGAAATGTTTTTTCTTCCTTCCTCTCGCGCGCGTATCAAATTCGCATACTCGTACATAATCGAGGTTCATGCAATGTTAATCACTTTTGAAAATGAGATTTTAATAACACGTTCATTTGACATTGCCGTCTATTATCTCAGATTGATGATATTGAGTTTGTATAATAAATCATCGAACACATGCTAAGTGATTTATAGTTACATGCATATATGTAGCTCCTCCTACAAATTTTTCAAAAAACTTTAAACTATGAATTTATAAAAGTATAAAACTTTTATATAAACTTCTATAGGATTTATAGATCTTTACTATGAGATTATTTTAGATTATATTTTTTATTAGATAATTATTGGATGAGAGGAAAGAGTAATTACTCTGCGAGCTGCTTGTAATAGTTCGCGAAATAAAATCGAGGAGAAACGTCCGTTTATAAACTTTCCGTTGCGTTTGTCTATTTTCGCGATGCATACAAGAACATCGTAAGCTGCGCGTAAACTTTCGTCTCGCTCGTGGTAGAATTCATGAGTCATGTCGAGTACTTTGGTCCGCGGGCGACGCGACGCTGGAAAGTTCGAGGCTGGCTTATACGAGTTCGAAAACTCGCGGAAAGGGATTAAACCTTGGCGACTACTGTCACGTAATAGAACTCGCTTGCGAGAGAGGCGTGTTCTTTGAAGACGATCGTTAGAAAAGCTTACGAGATGAGATCGCGCCAACGAGGAAAAACTTTGAAATATCAATCATCGTAACTTTGTTTTTTTTTTTGTCTCTGGTGGTTCCCAAAATTTGTTTACAATTTTCTTAAATTCCGCCAAGTGAAGAGTACAATCGATTTGACAATAATATGATTGGAGATAGATG